CGCATGAAGTTGAAATCCCTTGCCTCAACTGCCCGGATTCAGCGATCACGCATGTTTTGTCCCTAGAGACAGAGTTATCAAGGAGTGCAAGACATTCGCAAAGGAGTGATGCAAGGACCAAACCCGCCAAAAGGCTGAAGGTAATGTACCTACAAACCAACATTGGCTTGGGGGGAACAGGCGCCAAGATAACTCAGCCTCGCACGTGGTTCGCTTGGCAAAAGACGAGGCTGGCCTGGATTACTACGAGTTATCAAGAACCGACCCGGTTCCCGATTTCCGAGAAGTCATTATTCTGGGGGCAGGGGGTAGTCAGGAAGTATGGTACAAGTAGGTTCTCGATCCTCGCCTAGATAACGCCTAGGTACTACCACATGTGGTAGCTCGGCAAGTTCAGAGAAACGAGACCGCGAGGGTCTGGGGCTCCGGTGCTTGTGGAGCTGGAGGACTCAATTGTTGTGGTGGAGAGACTTGTCCAATTTGATCCTCCTAGGATGAAACTCGAGAGAGTAAGTAAGCGAGTCTAAATCCATCGTTCCTCCTGTCAGCATACTGTTGTCGGTACAAGATTCCCCAAGGCTCTGTTTAGAGAATGAAGTGGTCATATACTGTGGCCTGCTTTCAAGCCGTTGTCTGGTGATGATGACATTCTGGCTCCTCCTTGGAGACACGAGATAGAGGGGATCGTTGGGCCGCATGTTCGCATCCAAGGTTTTACGATGTTTCAAAAATTGACCTGTGTTATTGGTGGCGTTGTGTAGCGGCGGAAGATTAAACAACATCAATCTGGTATCGACTTGGTATTGAGATGGTATTGGGTCAAGTGAGTGGTCATGTGACCACGCCCTCAAAGGGGACATGCCCAGCCTGAGCCCGAGACGCTAGACCTAACACCCGCCTAGCGCCACTACGGACATGCCAATCTTAGCAAAGTGGCCTCAGGGGCTGTACAGTACCAGTATCAGGGGAACACAGTGGAACCCCCGTGGCTGTACCGCTCGTGTTCCAAAATTGGAGCAGCCAAGATCCACCCTTGATCTCTTTTCGGCATGACCGTGTTATGATTGACAGCCGCTAGTCGTGCCTAACGTGGGCTAATGTATCGTTGTCGTCCAATTTTCAACGCTGATGATGGGGCGGCTGAGGCCACCTGAATGCCCGCCTCCTGAGTCCTGGAGCAGCAGAGAAACACAAACCTGTTAGCCACGGAGAAAAGGTCTGACTTTCTTGTGCGCCCACGCTTGCCCCCCCCAGTCCAGTCCTGCAGTCCTGATCGTAAGCTGCGCCCTCCTGATGCGCCTATCACATCATCCACGTTGGTGCTTCTGAATAATTGCATGATGGTGGCCCAGCCCAAGCCTGCATTGCCTTATGGCTGGCCCTAATATATTACCGACTCCTTGACGCCCACACCCCCCCCCCAAAGGATCCATCCCCTTTTGTTGTCCCCTTCCATATCTATTCATCACTTCCCTTCGTTTGGTTTCTGCTTCTCTTGCAATTGTCAGTTGCAAGGGCAGTTCCTTTTCCTTTTTGCTTTTGCCTCACAATGGCGGCCTCCATCTCGCCGTCGGTCATCATGACCCAGATCTCCAGCTACCTCAATGCCAACGAGACCTCCGACGTTCTTTTCCAATCCCAACAAGCTGTCAATGCCATTGGGACCTACAAGTGGTTCATTGGTACTGGCATTTTCGTCCTGGTTACCGCCATTCAGATCATCAAATATGCCATGAGAGATCGTCCTCCCCCAGGTCTCAAGCTCATCCCGGGCCCCATGAGCACCATCCCGTATATCGGACGCGTCCACGATGTCGACCCAATGGCCCCTTGGTTTGCGATGAAGAAGTTTTGTGATGAATACAACGGCATTTTCCGCTCCACCATCTGCGGTGAGATGCACATCTGGGTCGGTGACGCGCAGATCGCCTACGACTTGCTCTGCAAGAAGGCCAGAATCTACTCCTCTCGTCCCATGGTGCCTGCTGTTCCGGGCAGTGACTCCCAGGGACAGTATCTGCCTCTTTTGGCTCATGACGGTGAGTTTGGGCTTCGTTGAACAAGTCACAGTTTAAATACTAATGGAAACGCAGACCACTGGCGCAACCAGCGCAAGTTCGCCCACACCGTCTTGACCCAGGGCTTCAACCAGAAGTACTACGGCTATGTCAGCCACGAGGCCAAACGGTTCATGTACAAGCTCCTCATTGACCCCAAGGACCATTTCGCTTTGACCGATCGATTCTGCGGTCGCATCAGTGCTCGTCTCGGTTACGGTAGCCCGGCCTCTGCTGCGGCGCACTGCAAGAACGCTGGTGAATTCATCCCTCAGATTTCCCCCTCGGGTCCCATCACCAATCTTTTGCCTTTCTTGGGCAGCCTCCCTGAATGGTTGAACCCTTCGATTAGACGCGTGCGCGAACGACGTGAGAAGGAAGAGAAGCTCTGGAAGGGTCTGATGAAGCAGGTCCGCTTGGAAATGGACCAGGGCATCGCTCCCATCAGCTACGCACGCACCTACTTTGAACGCAAGGAAGCCGAGAGCGGTAGCCGATCCTTTGGTTTCGACGACCATGAGGCCGCCTACGCCGTCGGTATGTTGGTGACTGTCGCCATCTTCACCATCGGTGGTCCTCTCTACTGCTTCTTCCTCGCCATGGTTCTCCACCCGGAATGGCAAGAAAAGGTCCGCAAGGAATACGACGAAGTCATTGGCGACCGTGTCATCGAGGTCTCGGATGCTCCCAACCTACCTATCCTCCGTGCTGCTATCAAGGAGTGCGTCAGATGGCGACCACCAGTCCCATTGGGTGTGCCCCGTCTTCTCGAAGAGGATGATGAATGGAACGGATACTACCTCCCCAAGGGCGCTGTTATCCACGCGGTCGACCTCGCTCTCGCCCGCAACCCCGAGCTCTACCCTGACGCAGAGACGTACAAGCCCGAGCGATGGCTCGAGAAGGAATACCCCACGTACAAGGAGCCTCTTACAGAACATCCCAGACTCATGGGCCACCACGGTTTCGGAATGGGTCGCCGCATGTGCCCTGGTATTGAAATCACCGAGGCTGAGCTGCTCGTCGCTTGCGGCAGCATCGTCGGCTGCTTCGAACTCAAGCCCTACATGGATGCCAACGGACAACCCAAGTGGCCCGATTCGAATGCTTTCACCCCTAACTTGATCGGCGGCCCTCTCCCCTTCGAGATGGACGTCAAGGTCCGAAGCCCCGAAAAGGCTGCCCGCATCAAGGCTTGGTACGAAGAGAGTGTCGCGGACGAGGCTGCCGGCAAGATTGCAGCAGGCTTGTGAAGAAAAAAAAAAGGCGCGGCCAATCAACTATAATTTATATCTCTACAAGGGACAGCTAGGCTGTGAGCCAGCCGAGCCATCTCTTGGAAAGAATTTTTGCACCTCTCCCCCTCTCCCCCATATTTGATCAAATGCAAGGCGTTGTTGGGAAGTCACAGGTTTTTCTCTCTCACATGTTAGGGGGATATGTGTAAGAGAGGGCCGCCCTTTGCATGTTTTGCTGCGCGCGCGCTGAATTGATGAGAACGAAGACTCGACACTTGAAAACATGGACTGGCAGGTGGTTGAACAATTGTATGTACAGATACCATCTGAGAATGTGTCGTGAGCAGGAGGGGTAAATAACTTCTTTGCGATTTTTGTTTTGAGGTAGAAGCCGAATTTAACGACCATATAATCTGCACCTGTTTCCTTGTATCGTTTTTCGCGGGTCTTTTTTGCTTTTTCTCAGGAATTGTTTCCGCGACAGATGACCTCGTTAACTCGATATGAGTGTGGATTGACTTGTGCCGAAGACTGCTTTCAACCTACGGAGAACTTGTTCAGGGATGGACTTTTTGTCCTGGCCACGGCCATTGGGTACCATTCACTACCGATAAGCAATTCATCCTCCTAACCAGGGGTCGACATGATCGAAGATTGAACCTTTTGCCCACCCTCGACGCTAACACCCCAATCTTTGTGGCCATGATCTGATCCCACGGCATTGCGCTTGTCCCGGAGAGGTTCACCGCGCCGAATCCGATGCAGCATTATTGATACTTACCTGTTACACTTTGTGGCCGGACGACTTCGACCTTCCTCAAGTCCACAAGGGGGCCACGACAAATCCCGCCACATGCATGCCGTATCTTGTAGCCCTGGAACGTACTTGAGCACACTACTGGCGCATCACCCGACGGCCCATGAGGGCCCCGCAAGGGATCTTCACTGCCTTGAATGATGGCGATTTGTCAAGATCTTGTCAAGCGCTTCCGTCGAGGCATTGCCGTGTGCAACGCTCTGCATGAAAGAACTCCGCGATCTGGACCATGGCAATTCTCCCATCCCACAGAAGCCGCAGGGCTGATACGGTCTCTGCTTCCTTTTGCCTTCGTTCTCAACCATTCCTTCGAACCCACGGATATTCGACCGTGTGTGAGAAGCTGGAGTTTCTGGTGTCTTTGTCTTACCTCGACTTAGTTATTGATATGCTTGTTTGCTTCGCCCTCTTTGTCCTTTTGAGATATCTAAACACGATAAAGACGGACCTGATCCCAACGGCTCAAAATGAGCGCTCATGATGGGATAGGGTCTTTTTGCCGCCATGGCGAGGGTGGAGGTGGCAGGGCTTCCTCTGACGAGAAGACACAAGCCTCGAAATTCGTCTTGGCCGCAGACGAAGAATCGCCCTCCGACAACAGCATACAGGAGAGCCAGCATGGACTTTCGGGTGACACCGCTCAGGATATCAGGGACATGTTCAGACTTGGCAAGCGGCAGGAATTCAAGCGGAACTTTTCTCTCGTTTCCACACTCGGATTCATATCGATGTGAGTTTGAGTCGAGCCCTCTCTTCAATCTTGGGCAAAAGTGCATCTGGATATGTCTCCAGAGAGGCGCCAGAGAGGCGCAGTTGCGCCCAGATGATCGGTCCTCTATCCGTCCAGTTTAACCGTGGGGCTAACATCAGCCTCGATGTCTCAGATACATGGCCACATGGGAATTCGTCTTGGTCTCTCTCGCCCTGGGCTTGGTCAATGGTGGGTTTGCTGGCCTCTTCTGGACATTTATAGGAACCATCCTCTGCTATTCGACTGTCGTGGCGAGTCTCGCGGAAATGGAGTCCATGGCCCCGACCAGCGGCGGGCAGTATCACTGGGTGTCGGAATTCGCTCCCAGTCGCTGCCAGAAATTCCTCAGCTACTCGGCAGGCTGGATGTCGACCCTCGGCTGGCTCGCCAGTTGTGCCTCGGGGGTGTTTGTCTGCAGCACTCTGATCGAGGTCCTGATCGACGTCTCGGACACGGATTTTGTGTTTCCAAACTGGCAGTACACCCTCATCAGTATCGCCCTGTTGGTTGTCACGATCTTCTTCAACACCTGGGGTGCGACGACGCTTCCCATGATCGAGACCATCAGCTTGGTGGGCCATATCCTTGGTTTCCTGGTCACGGTCATCCCCCTTTGGGGTAAGTCAGAAGCCTTGGACCGAGTATGGGACTTTCACGGCTGACTGATCCCCTTTTGTTGAATAGTCATGTGTCCCAAGAACAGCGCCAAAGATGTGTTCGCGACCTTTGCCGACAATGGGGGTTGGGGAAACGTTGGGACCGCATGTCTTGTTTCGCAAGTCGCGATCTTATACTGTAACTTGGGTAAGCATGTCCTCTATGAAATGAACCTTCGTTCAACCCTAGTAAACCTCCTATAGGGTCGGACAGCGCATGCCATATCTCAGAGGAGGTCGCCGATGCCTCGCTGAACGTTCCACGATCAATGTGGTGGAGTTACTTGTTAAACCTCTTCATGGGAATCATAACGTTGATTACGATGCTGTTCTGCATCGGACCACTTGACGAGGCGATCAACGCCGAGACACCTTACCTACAACTCTTCCTCAATACGGGCTCGAATGCTGTGGCCTATGTGCTGTGCATTCTGCTGCTGGTGCTCATCTTCAGTGGCGACATCACTGCGCTGGCGACGACCAGCCGCGAGGTCTTTGCGTTCTCAAGAGACCGCGGATTTCCATTCTCACAGTGGCTCAGCAAGATTGAACGCAAGCGAAACATTCCGTTCAACGCAGTATACGCGACCTCTTTCTGGTCCGCGGTGCTGTGCGTCATCAACATCGGCTCCACAACTGCGTGAGTAGGCCTCTCTTCTCACGAACTCGGATGTGGAGAGACTCTGTCATTATTTCCTCAGAGATACCAGGCGAAGCTAACGAATATCGGCCAGGTTCAACATCATCATCTCTCTCACCCTGCTGGCTCTGCTCAGCACATACATGGTTTCAATCGGGTGTGTCTGTCTCAAGCGGATACGCGGAGAGACGCTGCCGGCGGCACGATGGAGTCTGGGACGCTATGGGCTTGCCATCAACATGTTCGCTTTCCTGTATTGCGGCTTTGCCATTGTCTTCTGCTGTTTCCCGTCGACCTTGCCGGTGGACACGAGCACGGCGAATTGGGCGCCGGCAGTGTGGGCAGGAGTGATCTTGCTCAGCGTGATATCTTATTTCCTTCATGGAAAACGGCACTTTACACCCCCGGTCGTTTTCGTGGAGGGAAAAAGGACGGGGGGGCTTCAGGCCACTGAATGACTTGAGGACTGCTGAGCTTTACCACGAAAAGCGTTGGTTAATCGCGAACCGTCAACGGATGAAACCACCACTGGTTCCTTTCATGCGGTAGCTCTGCTCACGGGGAATAGAGATCTCTCGGGCCATCTGTAGTGTTGTAGACCAGTTCTCATTTTTCAGGGTCAGCCTCGTCTGATACAAAGCCAGCAAATATCCAGCTAGAGATCAGACAGCTAGAACCGGATAAGAGAGAGGGAGTTACACTTGTCGATCGGCTCCGTCGAATGCCTCCGGATCTCAACTTTCTCGACCTCTCCCTCCGCTGATCCTGTCCTTCCGAGTGACCAATCGGCCAAAAGAACATTGGGAAGGGCTGGTCCCTCCATGAGCTGATCACCAGAGGATTGTACCGTGGCGAAAGAACCCAGGTCTGGAGTCACTCGAGCACATGCACCTTGCCTCGCCTCATTCTCAGCTGTCTTGGCGTCCGCCCTCGTTAGCGAAGGGTATTCCGCTCACAGGGAAAAATGGGTGTGGAAGCCCTCTCCTGCATGAATGTTAAAGCAGAGGACGGGTCAGACTGTGGAGAGGCGAAGAGTGTCTGGCGGAGAGTCTCTCCAATGCGGCATCGGCGCCAAGAAGCCCAGGCGCCAAGAATCTCGGCAGCTGAAGTCTTCTTTCCTCCGCCTTTGAGCTTGAACACGCTTTACTATTTCTTGATCCGACGATAGGTGACAGGGACTGGACCAGCCATTTCACAAAAAGTCTCAGTGAAGCCCGGGCACAGAGAAATCATGTCGTGCTTCGGCGGCTCTCTCCACCCCCGATCACTCTAGACGCCATCTCCCTGCATTGAGACACCTCTTCTTTGTCTTCCTCAGACACTTGTTTCCTAATGCTACTCGAGTTTGGCCAGATCCAAGCCAAAAAAAAACTCACAATCCAGTCAAGGTGGGAGTCTAGCCTCGACACATGATTTCGTCACATGCCCAATCAGGCGAGGTGGCCGGCCCAAATCGACCTGCCTTACCCTGCTTGGTTGGAAAAGGTTTCGTGTTGAGCCTCGTATCAGTTGGGGTCCAGACTTGGGGTCCACCGACCCTGGCCAATACAGTCCAACCACTGGAGTCAAGCCTCAAAACTACTCGTACCTGGGCTTGCTTGTCGTCGCCTAACTGTCCAGCAGTGACAACGCAAAAGGAAGAATCCGCAGGAGGCCTCAACTTCGTGTCCGTGCCAGACAGCCAGTTACACAAAAGCCTGATCCCGGGCGTTGGTCTTGGATGCTGGCAACCCTCCCCCCTCCACAGCGGTCCGAGTTCACGCGCAAGGGTCTGCTTGGATCCGGCTGTGGAAGTGGGAAGTGTCTTGGGATCAAGAGTACGTATATCGATCACAGCCGCCGTAGGGCCGCATGTTCCTCTTTTCCTCTCGGTATCCCTCACTTTCTTGAAGTTCCTTCACGTAGGACAGGGCGTTGCCCTCTAGCTTTGAGTCACTGATCCCACCGTCGAACACCGTCGACAGCAATGATGTGGTTGGGGACGGCTTCTTCCTTGTGTCTGCTTGCCTTGCCCCTCGTGGCTCTTGCGCAATCAGTAGTCTACACTACCGACACAAACGGCTATGCGTACACTACAACTATCTACCCTTCAGATAGCAGTTATGATTCAACGACCACCACTTCCTCCTCTTATTCAACCCCAACCAGCGTTCCGGCCATCCAGACTGTACCATATACAGGCCAGGCCCTGCTCATCGGAACGTATGTTGACATATCCGAGTAATTGGACTGCCGGTATTGATCTCGTTTGACCAGATGCAATGTCGCTCGATTTACCCTCCTGAGATTCCCTGACGGCGGCACGGTCGAAGTCCCACTCGTGGGCTGTTCCGATGACCGGCCAGAATGCTGCCCTTCGTTGAACTTTACACATGTTGAGCCAGAAGACACAAGTTCTTCTCCGTCGGCCACGGAGTCGAACGATGAAGACGACGGACATGAATCTACCACATCTTGGACAGGCACAACTCCCAGTCCGACTCCCACGGGGATCGTCTCAATGCTGAGCAACGCTCCTCTTACCATCTGTCCAAGGTATCGTCACTCTCCAGAGCTCCAGGGTGCAAAGATATGATCTGATTTTTGACCGCAGTGATATGGTTGACATCGACCCGGTCTGCTGGTGAGTCTCAGGCTTTTCCCCTTCTGGCTATTTCATTGCTTGGTATGCACTGACCGAATTTACCAGTCCGATTGGCTTCACCACATACGGCCAGAGCATTATTGGTAACCTCCCCTGTGTGAGCACTCTCACCACGACAATCTCGCCCGGTTCGGATGTGCTGGCATCCATAACCTCGATGGTATCGGCTTCTCTAGTCGCAGAATCGGCAACGACGACTCCGACTGTGAATGTCATTGTGAATCAGTAAGCCCAGCCTCGTTGCTTTCCCTTTTCAAGAACCCGACATCGCGGTATTGAAGCTAACTCGACTCGCCAGAGTGTGGGCCCTGGGCCTTCCCTGCGCTGACGACGAAGAAGGCGAAGAGGAAGAAGATCACACCCATCTAAGCACGGGTGCCAAAATCGGGATTGGGGTGGGCGTCGGTGTGGCTGGTCTTCTCATCATCGGCTTCCTCTGGGCTTGCCTCGCCGTCCGCCATCGCCGACGGGCAAAGATGCGGAAACTAGAAGCCGCCAACACCGCAGCCGGCGGACCAATTCGCCCCGAGTCCGGGGCTTATGCGGCGGCACAAGAGAATCCTAAACACATGTCGGTGGCAACGTCAATGGGAAGTCCAAACATGATGCACCAACAGCAGCAGCAGCCGCCGTATGGCTCGCCCACGCACGGATTCAGCCCGGCATTCGGGTACACGGCGCCGCAGGCCCAGCCGCCGCAGATGATGCAGGTCCACGACGCCTATGGCCATCCGTACGGCATCCAGGCCGTCGGCCCAGGATATCCGCCGATGGGGTACCCGCAGAGCCAATCACCACCGCCCCCCTTTTACCCCTCAGGAGGCAGTTACGGTCAACAAGGGCAATACAAAGAGGCGCCCGCCGAGGTCGCTGGGGATGACGTCCGCCATCTCTCGCCTCGTCGAGAAAGCATGGGGTTGTCGGCCAGCGACACGCGCAGCCAGGTCACATCGACCACCGCGGTGGGCAGTTCGCAAGCAGGCGTCGAGCCGAAACCGCCCGCGGAGCTGAGTTCGCAGGGCAATCAGGTGTAAAGTAAGCCACCAATGGAAAGGAGAAGAGTGGTAAGGAAAAGGGGAACAGAAGGGAAAAGGCACAAGGCTGGTCGTCTGACCTTATCAAAATCTTCGACCACATCCCGCACACTTTACAACCCTGCAAATCTAAGGTAATGTAAGGCGCTTTTCATGGATCGAACCGTGATTGGTCTTGTTTTTCTCTCTCTCTTTGCTCACGAATGGGGAAAATGTATGTGGAGCTGCGGATGATGTGCTAGCTGGGCAGCCAGCGTGTGTAACTACTTGTCCATGGTCGACGAGCAAGCTTAATGTCCAAGCATTTATTCATCCATGCCGCGCATGCTTATCATCATCGACTCGTTCATGGTTTAATCGGACGGTGAAGACGAGAGAAGATAGAGAATTCATACAATAGTTCTACCCTCCTTTAGTTCGAACCTTTCGATCTTTGTTTTGTTTATCATGCATGGCCTACGGCGAGGCCTTCGCGAGGCATTCGTCCTATCCAACCTTGTGCTATACGCACACAACCGCCGAGTCGATCCCTTCTTGCTCTGTCTGATAGCTACACATCGCTTGTAGTAAAACTCAGCCTTTTCTCAAACCAATACAGTACACAGGCCCACGCACTAGATCCAGTTCAAGGGTCATCACCTAAAATATGAATTTGGTTACCATTTGGCCCAGACCACCATGCAATCTTCCCTCTCGTAGGAAACCTACACCACCCCTGGGCCTCCTCCTTTTGGCCGCAGGGTCTTGAGGGGCCGCGAATCATGACGTAGTGTGATCTTTCAAATTCAGTGTTGAGAAATGAACAACTCTGCATCTCCACCTGCTCAGTCGCGTGTCGATCAAAACGAAACTGACCTAGCGCTTCACGGCTGCCGTCCGAGTACGTAAGCAGAGCCCCGAGGCATGCGTCGCCCACGTCGACTATGCAAACTTCAAGCATTATGTTTGCCCCCAGGGAGGCCTTACTGAGACACCAGTCTCCGTTCGGACCCCCCCAATTAGGACGGGGGACAGGTAGACCGGGGGAAGTATTCCAACCTACCCGTCGGTCACAACGAGTTGATGAGAATATTCCAATCTCGGCGAAGGCAGAAGTGGGGTTATAGACCGAGGAATGGAATAAGCCACAGATCGAGCCATTGTTATCCGCGTGTAAGGCTTCGTATACGAAAAGATCCTCCTGTTGCGGCTGTGGCCCGAGGGAATATGCCCTATCAAATGTCGTTGCGATCTAGAGGCTATTTTAGTTATTTCCTGGTAGCAAGCGTTGGAGGTATACCTGGATGACCGGGTGGGTCAGAGGGAATCGAGGCCAATCGATCCAACGGACACCGATAGTGCGTATAGTCTCCTGAAAATGTAAAGGAAAATAGAGAAAAACCAACAACGAGCTTGGAAAAAGTGCCTCCACTGTGGCCGTGAATGTCTGGTAGGCATGCCGAGGAAGATTTCGTTGGTGGCAGAAAATGCCAACCGTCCTTGAATGGTAAACGGCCGTAGAAATACCGGAAATTTTCCTGAGATCGTGATACTCATATCGACGAAGAGAACTGCTTTCCAACAAGGGCATTGAAAATCGAAAGGCAGTCCCTTGATTTGGGGACGGTAACACATTCCATTCGACGACAGTGGGAGATTCGGCATCGATGATATTCCGGAGAAAAAGGCCCTGTTATTATTAGTGGAGACTTGAAGGGCCAGCTTGCATACTCACATCAGAAAATGCAGAAAGCTTCACAGTTTGAGTGCCGACCTTTCGGAGTGGGACTGTATGGAAAAATATGCCTGCTTCGTGATGGTGAATCTGCTGACTACTACAGTAGAGACCACGAATGCCGAAGTGGTCCCTGCAGATAATCAGCGTATCTTGAAGCTGAAGCACTTGACTCTGGCTAGGCACACGGTCAATAACATCTAAGCCCGTTAGATAATCACGACCCCCGAATCTGCTGAATGACATGTATAGTGTCGTCCCAGGCTTGACTTGAAAGCTGACCCAGCGAGGCGGAGAGTACATCTTGTGAATTGCAGCCACCGACGTAGCATGGTATAAGGCGATATATTCTGCAAAATGACCAAGGTAGGAGCAGATCTCGTCAATAACTTCAGACGGAAGTTTCTCGAAAAAAGGGAAAGGATACCATTTCCGAAAGGCTTCGGTCATATGGCTCGACTGATCAATCGAGGGCGGTGCCAAAGGTCTGGCAGCAACGAGAGATTCGAGTAGGTCGTCGAAAGACGGTGTCCCATTGGCGTCTTGGAGCGTTGTAAGGTGATCCCTGACTGTATTGATACAGTCAGAATCAAGACGGACTTTTTGGCGACGCTCTGGTTGGTAGCATATCGGACAAATAAGCGCCCTGGGCGGTGGCCACTTTGATACTGCTGTAGGTGTTAGATCTGTCCTTGAGGCCAAAGTTCCTCGACTTACCAGCATCCCTCAGGGGATAGTGGCAGAGCAGACACTGGAATCGTCGAGTAGGGCAGCTGCATAACGTGACTGAGGCCATTTAAAGCGCACTGAATCTGGTATTCTTTCATTTCTGAGGGAAAGAAAGGAGGTGGAACAGGGTGCGAGGAAGGGGGCAGGGAGTGCGAGGCGAGGAGGTACAGCGTGAGTGACACGTGAGCCAGATGGAGAAACTACGCGTTCACACTTCCTGCATTTCAGCCTCGCACATGTCCAATGCCGGTATGTTCAGAAGTTATGGTTCCCCGCAGAAAAAAGGACAGGGACTATATGTGTCGATTTTCAATAGTTATTCAGAATTTCGTATATGCAGACCATATAGGTCTACCGATAGGTCTACCGGCTGGCGGGAGCGTTAGCATCGGTCGCTGTGCTGTCCAATGTAAAGCTCGTTGTGACCCTGCCTTTCCCGGCTTGACCACTAACTGTTGTTCATGGACTGTTTTCATTAAACATGTCAAAGCTTCGCAAGAGGCCCCAAGAGTCATGTGTTAGGACTCTTCTGGCCTCCGCCGCACCAACACCGTTGTTCCCCGTCTCTCTCCACCTGAACAACGACATCCATTTTCCTCTGCCGTAGATACATCGAGACCCGCTCTCTGACATCCTCTAAATCTGCATGCTGTGAGGCGATGATGTGGATGACACCCAACACCGTAGGATCGGAGTTTTCGCCGTCACACTTCTTCCCATCACTGTCTTTATGTGAGTGAGAATGCGAATGTGAATGGTCGTCGTGTGTATGGGAATGACCATGGTGGTGGTGATGACCGGGCTCTTTCTTGATGTCTTCGAGCCAGAATTTCGGCACCGTGTAACCCACCACACCGCGGATTTCGGCCACACCACTGAGGATGTCTCGAAGGTTGTATTCAATGTCAGAGTTTAGTGACAACAGGAGGGTTTTTGTCGTTGTCGTGACAAGCGGGATAGTGGACGCAAAGATGAGAACGGCAATGATACATGATGCGAGGGGATCAAACCCGCTCCAACCGGTCCAGCGGACAAGAAGGGTCGATCCCACAACTGCCAGAGAGCCGAGTGCATCGGCCATGATGTGGAGATAGATGCCTTGCATGTTTTCTCCACCATGGTGGTGATCGCTCGCTGCCCCTTGTTTGCCTTTCATCGGTGAAGCGGAGGCGATCATAGGAGCTCCGACGATTTCATGGTGGCTATGATCATGTTTATCATCATGATCGTGGTCATGGTCATGATGACCGTGGCCATGGCTATGGCTATGACTTCCATGATCGTGCCCGTGTCCGTGCCCATGCCCATGCCCATGCCCATGATCGTGAGCACCATGAAAAGCAAAAATGCCCACCAGATTCACAAACAAACCGATCGTGCTGACCACAAGAAGCTCTGCAGTTCGACTGACATCAGCACCAGAGAACAGCCGTTCAATCGCCTCATAGACGATCTCGATACTTATTAGCATCAAGAAAATACCATTGCCTAGCCCTGCAAGGGTATCAATCTTTCCGTACCCGTACGGAAATTTGAGACTGGGAGGCCACTTGCTCATGACAGCAGCACACACCCCGACCAGCAAGGCCACACAGTCGAAGAACATGTGGATACTGTCACTAATCAAGCCCAGGGATCCCGTCAGAACGCCATATGTGGACTGGACCAACATAAAGCAGAGGTTCAATATCATGAAATAGAATATTCGCCGGGACTCGTCGTCCTCCAGTATCCCATGTAGTAATGAGTAGCTTTCAGTCGAGTGAAGGAGGAACTGGGTGGGTTTGGAGAAATTTCTTTTGAAAGTCGGCCGCTTGGTAGCGCCAGGTGATGAATATGCAATCTTTTCTGTATCCCTTCTCTTTGGCAGAAATTGCGAACCCGTGGAATCTTGGGACGGGGCAGGGCTGACATGTCGATGCTCGTAAAAATGGGTGTTGACAGGGGGCAACCGGTTGACGCTCATGGCAGCTTCATTCTGCTCAACGATGGAGTCAGAGGGGATTCGCGTCAAGGGGAAGGGGGCCGTGAGGCGGCTGCCCGTTCGACTTCGTTGATGGGAGCGTGCATTCAAGCTCGGGTTTGAATGTAGAGGAGAGTGGGAGTGGGAGTGAGAGTGGGAAGGACCATGAGGATGCCCATGCTTGCAGTTGTCGGCGGCAGCAACAGGCAGGGTGAAGGTGGCGCTCATGGTCCTTTCAGATGGTCCTGAAGGTTGGGAGGACACTTTGGTGTTTGGTGAACATCCGCCCTCGTTGTGGCCGCTCCCAATAAAGACTCGACGAAGATGGTGCCACCAACGTTGCTGTGTTCACCAGGCAGCAAGGGATTGTTGACGCGACTGAGGTGATTTCCGATCTCTCGATAGGCGCAGGCGGGGGTTGAGAGAAGAATGGTCTGGGGAAAGAAATTACAAGGATAGCTAGCTATACATTTCTCGTCTAGTCTGCTGCCCCTGGCCAACGATGTCAGTGGGCAGCAGGAGCAATAGTAGCAGCAACATATTTCAAGGGGTAACAAACTCTGAAGGGTGGTGGAGAGGCTGAGAGGCCACGAGAGGCGTATCCCCATCCCGCTGCACCTCTGCATCTCGCGCATCTCGGCATGCAACTTCGCTCGTATCCATGATTGGCTTCCCTTCCCCTTTTTTGGGACTCTTCGAGCCTCTTCCCGCCCCTACCAACTTCGAGTCTAAACCGCTTCCATCTATCTGACCACCCTGGACATTCTGACTGGTCGACGTCATTCTTCTTCCACCTCTTTGGTGATTCTCTGCAAGACAAGCATCGCAAGAAGCAGCGACACCGCCCCAAGAGGATGCTATTGACAGTATTGGTGGCTATCTCCACCATTTTTACCGTTCTGCTACTCCTGCTCCCCTCCCCAGGACGTGCTGCGGATCAAAAATGTTCGGTCCAGGTTGTGGTGCTGGGCGATCTGGGCCGCAGTCCCCGGATGCAATATCATGCTTTGAGTATCGCAACCCACGGTGGCCGTGTTCAACTTGTTGGTTACAGAGGTGAGGGCTATAACTGCTCGAGACAGCCATTTTGGGCACCAGTCTAATAGAATGTGTCCAGAGACTGATCCATTACCCGAGCTGGTTGCGCATCCGGCGGTCACAGTGGTCCCGTTAACACCTGCTCCTCGGTGGCTTCAAACTGGCAACAAGCTCTTGTTTCTTCTATTTGGCCCACTGAAAGTTCTCCTGCAGACATGGACGCTTTGGAACACTTTGAGCTACGCCACTGCTCCTTCTAAATGGATGCTTGTGCAGGTATATCTTTCCTCTTCGTTGTTGCTGACTCGTGCTAATGAATCGTGTGTAGAATCCGCCCTCTATCCCTACTTTACTGGTTGTGACTGCTGTGTGTTTCTTTCGGCGGACTCGGCTCATCGTCGACTGGCATAATTTTGGGTATTCCATCCTAGCTCTGAAGCTCGGCGCAGATCACCCTCTGGTTGCCATCTCCAAATTGTACGAAATCGGCCTGGCGAAGGCTGCGACTGCAAACTTTTCCGTCACAGACGCCATGGCTCGAGTTTTGAAATCGGATTACAAGATCACTGCTCCCATCTTGACTTTGCATGATCGACCAGCAGACTTGTATCAGCCTTTGACAGCTCCCAAACGGATAGCCTTCTTGCAGCGTTACCCACTCATCCGAGAACATTTCAATGCAATCATAGACGCAAAGGCAAGGTTGATCGTCTCTTCAACCTCATGGACTGCTGACGAAGACTTTGGTCTTCTCCTGGATGCTCTCTGTGCCTACTCTGCCAGCGCCACCTCTTCCCATCCACATCTTCCAGAACTTGTCGTTGTTATCACCGGGAAAGGACCTCAACAGCAACGTTATCTCGACAAAATTCGGGAGTTGCGGTCCGCACAAGTTCTGGAAATGGTGAGCATCTATACCGACTGGCTTAGCTTCGAAGACTACGCTCTTCTATTGGGTTCTGCGGATCTCGGTGTCTCCCTACATACCAGCAGCAGCGGGGTTGACCTGCCCATGAAGGTGGTCGATATGTTTGGCGCGGGACTTCCTGTGACGGGCTGGAGCAGCTTTGCTGCGTGGTCGGAGCTAGTGACGGAGAATGTCAATGGCAAAGGCTTCGGCAGCTCAGAAGAACTGGCAGACATCCTCCAGGACTTGTTTGATCCCAAATCACAACAACTTACAACACTAAAGGATGGAGCTGTGAGGGAGAGTCAACGGCGATGGGGTTCCGAGTGGGATCCAGTCGCTGGGAAGCTCTTCGGTCTAGCAACCTGATCTCAACCTCCACCGAGATGAGACATGTCAGCCCTCGATGTTACGAAACTCTCAAGGCTGAGAAGCCTGCGCTCGGGGGCACATCTCAGAATACATTGGGCCTCGAATCTAAGTCATTCTAGAGCCACCTCGTACCGATCTTTGTCCTATGGTCCAGGGCCGTCTTGACATGCAATGCTTGAACGCAACATCTTCGGCCCACTTTGCTTGTTTGTTGAAGCTTCTACATGCCGAGCGGGATGCGTCATGGAGCACAATCGGCAGCTGGTTCTATAACGACGTGTGAAGAGCCAAGCCTGTCGGCGCACACCATCGAGAGAAGACACAAAGTTGAAAGGCCGATGCCAGAACTCTTGGTATGCTCCTCACTCTGAGGAAGCTATTTGATTGTTCAAACGGCGGCGGAGATCAGCACGACAGTCTAGCTGCATTCTCGAGCAACCCTATCAAAGACGGCAATTAGCCGACATATCCGGATGGGCCATGAAGCCAAGACACCAACGCGAATGCTGCAAGGCGTTACGAACAGATGCACGCATTTATGCCCAGATTGATCATTAAACTCAGGAGATTATGCCGTTGGTCCCACACGGGCTGTCAGATATGGCCCTCTTCTGCTCCTGCTCTGCATTGCCAAGGGCACGGAGGAGTCCACCTTGATCCTTTATGATAATAAGTCGTCGTCAGCCTGCTGCATAAAGGAAGACCCAGGCCTTTCGGGATTCTTGGTGGCGCGATACATTCTGTCAATGCGGGAAATCTTTCGAAGCGTGTGGTCAACATATCCTCGCAGAGAGGGATTAGCTTACTTTGAACCCATCTGTCAAACGCCACCTGGTGCCACGGAGTCTGGTCCTACATCATGACGGATCTCACTGCGGTAAGTTTCTGGAGAAACGATTTGGCGAAAACGCCAGGCATCCCTCTATATCTTGGCCGTGAAGTTCTGTCCTCCGGTCCTTGTTGCCTTGTTATAGTTGCTGCCTCTCGTCTTCTCGTTCGGCACCAGTCTTGAAGAACAGAAAGTACTCTGCTGATGGCGTCAATCCTTCAGCACGCACGGCGAGTAGCATGGGACAGCCACAAGCGTGATGGTCACTCGAGCCGTGGAATCAGAAAGCTGTCGCGATCGGCTCCATTGTCTCTGTTCATCGAAGCATTGGAAGCAGATGGCTGTGTGATAGTCAAGGACTTTACCGACGAAGCCACGCTTGAAAAAGCGGACTCGGAGGTCCACCCGTGGCTTGATCAGCAAGCCAACGGGGTGAAAGTGGGCGGCAAGTTCTCTCACTTTGTGTGAAACTTTCCACTCTGGCATTATACTGACTGGCTTCAAGCGCTTCAAGGCAAAACAAGAACGGTGACCAGGCTCGTCGGGAAAAGCGCAACGGTAAGAGAGAAGTTCTTTGCCGATCCGCTCTACCAAGATTTGTGCGAACATTTTCTGGCACTTGAGACGACCCATTACTACGGCAACAAGCCCGTTACCACGACGAGCCACCCGCTTCTCTCTATCGCAATTGCATTTGATATCCCTCCTGGCACTCCTGCGCAAAATCTTCACCGCGATGACAAGAATCATCATGCTCGCCATAGTCATGCCGACAAATACACGAAGGGACGCGACATGCTATTAGGACTGTTTGTTCCAGGGTGCGATACCACCAAGGCCAATGGTGCCACAAGGGTCGTTCCTGGCAGCCACCTGTGGGGCGACGATATGCCCGATTTCGGGGCCGATGGTACCCGTGGAGTTGTTGACGCAGAGATGCGCATGGGAGAGGCATTCATTATGCTGGGAAGTCTCTATCACGGAGGTGGAGCGTATGAGAAGCCGTTGGGGACGGCAAAAGAGGGCGCCAAGGAGAGCAGAACGGTCTATGCCATGTTCTCATGCACCGGCGTGCATCGGCAGGAAGAGGTATCATTTCTGTCGTATTCAATCGACGAAGTCAAAACATACTCGAAGATTGTGCAAGAACGACTAGGCTGGAAGCAAAGCGAGCCGAATCTAGGCTGGGTCGACTTGAAGAGTCCGGAATTCCTCCTTGCGCAGTGAAGATGCCAAGTGCGCGTTCTCATCAGTCATCAAGACTTGGAGCAAGCACGGTACAGCTGAATCTGACATCGCCGCTGCCTGCCTCCTCCTCACGTTTGAGGAATGGGAATGGCCCCAAGCTGAGCGCTTTATCGCTCAGGACATCTTCATCTTCCTCAAGCACGCCAAGATCGACCGGCCCTTTTCTTCTGCCTTCCAACTCCCACAGATGTCCGTCCTTTCCCTTGACGAATGCAATGAAAGCATGACCAGGATCTTCTCCTAGTGGTGGCGCGGTGCTATCTCCCGACTGGGCAGCTGCGGCGTGAGCAATCTCTAGCATTTCTGAGTCGTGGAGGAACTGAGCTCGCTCGACGGGCTTAAGGGGAGTTGTGTCTTTGATCAATTTGTCGAGGTCACTCCCTTCCTGGATGAAGTCGGCTGCGGTCCCGTTGGTGGTGCAATGGAGGAGACCAATGAGGCCACAGGCGTGGTGGATTGTTTGGCGGTAAAACATGACGGGTTCTCTGGGCCCTGAGCCATCGTAGCCAGCTTCGGCCTCATTAGACCTGTTGTAGTAGGCTTCGGCGGTTGCTGAGGTTGGGTAGGTGAACAAGAGAGCACTGGCTGGTCGAGGTAAAAATGCCAACA